TCTATTTTTAAATACTTTGTCGGTCATAGTAAAGCAATTCTTGATTGAAAATTTGAAATTAGTAATTTGCTTCTCTTTAAACAAACTGCTTTAAAAAAAAAAAAAAAAAGAAAAAAGCCCACGAAGTAGAAAGCCCAGATTTCAATTCAATCAAAAATGGTTATTTTAAAAATGCGGTGAGCGTGGATCGAACACGCGACCTTCAGATCTTCAGTCTGACGCTCTCCCAACTGAGCTATCCCCGCTTGTGAGCTTTTGATCCGAATCTGTTTTTATATTATGAAAGTTAAACGATACCACTGCTACTATACGTATATTTATGGCGCCTTGGTTGAGCGGGTAGGATCCCCTGCTACGCAGCGCACCTTTCTAAATCGCTCTTCATCATTGTGATTGGTAGCAATGACATCTTCGATTACTTTGGATCGTCCGATCTGCGCAAGAAGAATACCCGACAGCAATATGTGGATCTAATGGTCATCAAACTAAAAGAGCAATTAAAGGTATAAGTTTCAGTTTATAATAATATTTTTTTAATAATTATATCATGAATTTAAAAATCGCACTTCCCCAAAAAAAAAAAATCAACATTGACAGCATTAAATAGTTATTTTCCAATACTTTTTTTAATTTCCATTATTATCGGATCAAATTCAAAATTTTAGACCATGCTTATTTGTAAAAAATTATTTTGGTTATTTATATTTTTAATTATAACAATAAAAGAAATGATTGTTGAGAAAAAAAATTATATCTTTAATAATTGTACATGATTTATATATAGATATTTATATATGTATGATTTTAAAATATATATAGATAACTGAAATAATTTGTGTATATTTTGGTTGGCAGAGATTATACAATTATGAGGGTCGTAATTTGTACATTAAATACAATTAAAGCAATTTACAGTCTTGTTACCTAATAAAATTTTTTTGTTACTATATACTGTCATATTAATTCATTTTAAATTTTTGTCGATAAATTTTTAATTAATTAACTAAAATTATTTATTTTATAAATATTTTTATTAAAAAATAGAAGATAATTAATTGAAAAAATTCAGAGCTGTAAATAAAAAAATCATTAACTAAATGGTAAAAGATATAAAATTTTAAGAATTAATTTAATGTTTTTTTTTTGTCACATTTATAGAAATCTAACAGTTAATAAACCGCGAGAGTCCTAGGTGCACCGAAGTCACGCAAAACCGTCTTCTCACACAATCGGCAAAAACAGCCACCGCCATCCGCAACCACAAGCCAACGATTCAGTTGTTCTTTGTTACCGCAGCGGGAAAAACATGAACCCACCTCAACAGTCTCAAGTTTCCACCCAGGATACCAGACATTTCAGAAAGATAATCTAACCCAGTTAGTTTCATATTTATATATATACATTCATCAACGATGATCCCCTTCTTGTTTTTCAACTTCTTCTTCTTCAAATGGCGATATTACTACTCAACCCTTTCGTCTCCATCTTATACTGTTCGTACTATCACTCGCCGTGATAGCAAAAAGCGATCCGGCTCAAAACCCGACAACCACCACCAGTTCATCCCGGTGGTTTGAGCAAGTGATAAGTCGTCATCGTCTTCATCGTTCTAATCAGAGGCAGCTAGGGTGCAGATGGAGGCCGTGGATTTGCAGGCGGGGAGAGCACCCGCCGGGAGCTCGGGTGCGGTGCTGCCGGAACCAATGCGTCGACGTTTCATCGGATGTTAATCACTGCGGTTTCTGCATAATCAGATGTCCTTTTGGATGGCAATGCTGCAGGAGATTCTGTGTTAATGTCATGTTTAGTCGGTTTAACTGCGGGAGATGTGGCCATAGGTGTCCCTGGAGGAGCCGGTGCGTTTATGGGATGTGCGGGTATGCGTAGCCTTTTCTTCTTCCGTTTATTCCGTTTATTCGTCTTGTATGATTGTAGTCAACTGGCTGGTATATAAACGGTCAATGGAAGACGAGTGGTTGACCAAAATATAGTACAGCGCGCGAAAAGACCTCTTTAAATGCAACCCCCCAAAAAAATGAAGTTCCAAAATACTACCACGCGCTGATTGTTTCTTGCTTCAAATTGCTTTTCGTTGCTCTCTCTGTCTCTCTCTTTCATTTGGAGCAGTAAAAATGGAGGAAATGGACGAAACCGAAGCTGTGCCGCAGGTCGATTCTCCGTTTTTTCATTTTCTCTTCACGTTTGCTTTTCGTCTGTTTGGTTGCCAGGGAAGCGGAAAGAACAAAATAGCGGAACTCGTTTTATTCTGCATTTCTATCATTTTCAAAAAAATGATGACGAAATCCGATTGACTTAATTCAAGTTTAATATTGACGCTTCATTCTCAAATAGAATAATTGCAAAAAGGAATCGAGAGGGACCTGCAGTTTTTTAAGCGATTCGCATTGCCTCTTCTGATCTATGACTCTGGTTTTGGCTCCTCAGTATCGTTTATACTCTTGTACCGTATCTTAATTTATAATGTCTAATGAGAATATACTTCTGATTGTTTTGGTTCAAATAAATGCAGACAATTCTTTGAGTGTATTCCTTCTATTCGAGAGAATTTTTTTCAGTGTAGTTTGTATCCAAGTGACTGTTCTGTTAGTTAATTAACCATGTGATCTCTACTTTATGCGAAGCATGATCGAGGTCACGCCATTGATGGCCTTGGTCATTTAATGACTACCTTTTTTTTGGTTATAGAATTGTCTCATAGATTTGGAAGCTATTAGATGAATACCTTGCAGATGTTCTTATGTTATTTCTTACACGCTGTACTGGTTTCCGCTGCTGCTTCAAAGAAATGTGTTCTGAACAGTTGGATAATTGTTTATTATGTTCATATTGACTTTATGGTTGATTTTCTCTGTCCAGGGCGAGCCATTTACTTTCCTGTATCTAAATTATGCAGGTCTATATGGCATGCATACTACAGGGTCATCGGTGAGCTTTGATTTCCATTTTTGTATCTTGATGAGCTTCACAAATAATCTGTGGCATGTCATGAAAAATATAAGTCTCTACGTGAGAGACTGGGCAATGTAAAGAAGCTTTAGTGATATATATCAATCTTTGTGGTTGAGGTAGTGAAATGCAAAAGAATGTGTGACAAATATGCGAATCAGAAATCAGAACCAATAAAATAGAATGCTACGAAGTTGATAATATGGAAGTGCGCATCTAAACAGAGGAATCACTCACAATGCTTGTTTTGCACATTTATTTTAAATATTGATCGGTAGTGTCCTAAATTGGAACTTTCTACCCAGAGTTGGAGTCGCTTATTACGATACAAGTATTCGCCAACTTCATGTGCTGGAAGTTTGGGAGGATAGTAGCTCAGACTTTCCCCTTATTGATCTGGGTATGAGTTTCATGTTTCTTCAGGAATGCTGTTTCATTTATCTTTCATCCATCCTATTACTAATATCGGTGACATTGCTTTCTGGAAATTTGTATTTGTTCTCTCTTTTTTTTAGTTTAATACAGGTTACTTTTTGCACTGTTTTTTGCTTCTCTAGTTGATTTTCTCTTACGTTTCTTGTTTAAATTTATTTATGTTTTTCATGTATCTTTGCCTTGTGCTGGTTTAGTAAAATATCAAGCCAAGCCCTTGATCATATACACAAGCACTAAAAGTGAAGAATCCTTTTTGTCTGCTATAGAACGAAATGGTATGCTGCTTATATGCTGTTGCATGTTGAGTACCAGCCTGTTCTCTGCTTACTCTATAAAGTTATGCAGATGGAACAATTGAGGCTCCAAATGTGAAGCTTGTAAAGAGCACAATATTCAGCTATGAGCAAGCATGGCACAGGTACTTACTTACATATCTGATAAATATACTGGCTTTTGTTTGATATATTAAGTAAATAAAATGGGAAAAGTTCAAAAGTTGAGGTATATGCTAAGGTTGAAGAGTTTAATGAGCTCCTCTTTTAGATTAGGGTCCGAACTTCGAATCTATACCACAACATCCCAAAGTCTAATGTCCACATAAGGTGCAACTTAGTTCTTTCACAGGGCTTCCACATTAAAATGTAATAGAATTCCCACGAAATGTGTTTACTTTTGGGCAACTTACGTGCCAATTCCACCAGCTAATGGAAACATGGGGCTGTCAGTTACTAGAATTGATTTGCCTTTTCTGTTTTTCTACTATTCTTTCTGCTGAACCACTCAAACCATGCAGCGATCAACCAATTATGATTTTCATTTAATTATTTTGTCCTGCAGCTGCTTTCATATGCTAGTTGCCCAGGCAGCATGATTGTTTAAATTTTATGTGTTTGATATCTGGAGGGTACTTCCCAGTTTGATAATCGGTTTCCTTTTCCCTCTCTCGTCCTCATTGTTTATTTGTATTTTGTAGATTGACATATCTTCGAGTAATAGGGATGGAAGATGGTTTAACCGTCAAAGAGAGGATTTTTCATGTAAGTTGCGACTTCACAAATTTTCATATTCGCAATAAAATTTTTATCCTATGGGATTGCACATACTTTACCTGTATTGCAGATAAACATGACAATCATAAATGTTTTTGGTACTATCATTATGAGTTGGTTATGGGCTAATGCATGGTAAACAGCTGGATTTTTACCTTCTAACTTTGCCATAATGCTATATTTTTCTTTTTTAGTGAATAGTATCTATATTTTTCAATGTTATTTGTGATGCCCCTTAAACATTTTGTGTAGGACAGACTATGATTCTTAGTTTCTACACTATCAGTGATGTTATAATTAGGTGCCAGTTGTTATTTTCAATCAGTTTAGTTCTTAAACTTACAAAATTTCATTTCTAAGCTTTTTTCGTTTTTTTTTTTAAATACAAATGTGAAAGTTTTGACACAAATGACATAATTTTTGTCTTGCTCATATTTTGTTTTCTATTTAGCTTTGAAAGTTGTAACAACTGGAATCAACTTTAAGACACTTTAAGAGAAAAATTAATTTCTTATTTAAATTATGCAGATTATAACAAATGTTAGGAAAGAAGAAGACGGTTGCAATAATCTTTTTTGGATTTTCTTTCTAATTTCTAGTTCTAATTCACACTAAGTAGAAGTTTTATACTTTTTAAGTCATTTTTATGTCCCTCAAGTAAGACATAAAAAATGTTTATCATTGTCGAAAATAATTCATTAGAAAAGCATGTTTGAAATAATTTTGTAAATTTAGGAACTAAATTGTAGTGAAAAAAATTTTGGGTCCTATTTGCAGCATAGCAATAGTTTGACAGCTAATTGTTAACTTTCCTTAATGTAAGATTTCTTTGCAAGCCTTGCACTAAAAATTACTAACTTGAGCTTTATTGATTTGCTCTTCTCATTATTTACATCTGGTTCTTTTTATTTGTGAACAAAAGCTGAGTTCTATGATGGACATGGGGAGTGACGTGCAAGTTCGTGCTAGCGGGGGCCTCCTTGCCATTTTAGAGAATGAAAGGATTGTTGATACTCTTGAGCAGAAGGAATCCGGGAATCCATCAATAACAATTGATTCTATACTAGAAATTTCATTGTATCCTTTAATGTTCTTCTCTATAATAGTTAAAAAATTATGTAGTTCAGTAGTTTGGTTTTCCTTTTCCCATTTCTCGTCAAATTATAATTGGAAAAACATGAATACAAATTACATTTATTTCCTTACAACAAATAATAGAAACAAGTTTCTTAAACTTGATGCTGCTGCTCATGAAGCATTGCAGATATTTCAAATGGACAAACATCCAAGTCATATGGGCATTGGCAGAGCAAAAGAAGGGTAATACTGTACTTAATGTACTTCATTTTTTCCCTAAATATGATCTAAATTGATTCGCGGGTATGCAGGTTCTCTGTGTTTGGGATGATGAATAAGGTTTGTGGAAGTAAGCACACAAAGTAAGCCTTTTTTGTGGTCATTATTCCTACCCTGATCTAATTTATTCTTTCTATTCAGTGTGTGACACCAATGGTAGACGGCTTTTGAGGTAAATTCAATTAGGAATCTGGTCTGGTATAACTCCTTGCATTTACCTCTCACCTCAGTTTTTCTGCTTCAGAAACTGGTTCCTCAGGCCTATTCTAGAGATTGAAAATGTAAATGCTCGTCTTAATGCAGTATCCTTTCATTTTGAATTGTGTAATGACTGCTCTCAGTTAACCTAAATCAGAGGCCATTCATGCCACAAGTTAGGAGAGAATAGAAAAGGTATTGACATCACCTCTATGAGGAGTTTGCTAGTAGATGATCCGCCTGAAGACCAAGGGTGCATGAGAAATATTAGCAAACTTCCATATATATGTACTTTGTCACATTACAAGTAATTGGCAACAATGTGTGTGTGCACATACCATTCTGCAGTTTCCTTTATATTTTCTCTTTCTATTGTGCAAATAGATAATTGGCAAAATGAAAAAATTTCATATCATGGAGTGCAGATGGTTTGTTACATGTAACCATTAGTTACCTGTATTATTAATCTTGTAACAAAAGCTCATCATCTTTAACAAAGTTAAGATATCCTTCTTCCTTTGTTCTGAAGAACTAATGGTTTCATTGCGTGAAACATTGAAGTCTGTAAAGGATATTCCCCACATACTCAAGGTATCTAGCATCAGAACATGTTACTGTTACTGTAGTGTGTAGCTTTTATCAGAAGAATATATCCCATGTGTGGTTTGCATTGATTATCAGTCAAGTTGTCATGTCTTTTTACCTGGAGATGGCTGTTTATTGTGATACTTCTGTTTCGTATTGTCTTCATCTTTCTGAAGTTTGAAAAGCATTTCTTTTGGTGATGCAAGAAATTCAATTCTCCAAGTTCCGTCTGTACAAGTGGTGACTGGACAGCCTTTTTGAAGGTAGATTAGATCTAGTTTTATTACTTCAATTCTAACACATGCATGCAAAGGTGATGGAGTCCTCTCTGATAACCACAGAATTAGTTGAAACAATAAAATCAATTCTACATTTTAGTCATGAAATATATTGGAGCAGGTTGAGTGTTGTTTTCATTTGAACAACTTTTGCAGAACTTGATGTTCTTCAATTCCCTAATTTCTGAAGTGACAAAATTTCATGGTGTTTCACACATTAGTCTATTAGCTAAAATGAATTACATTCTAATCGCAGCAGAAAGTATGTTCACATAGTTTAATTGAACCAATCTGGAGTTTCAGAAGGACGAGGAGAATTTTGGCCCATGTAACATACAGAATTTCATTGTGTGTAGAGTATTGGTTCTCTCTTGCATATCCGCAAAATATTTGAGATTGGCATTTCGGAACGTCTTCAGGAGCATGTGAATCACTTGAATTTAGATATTGTTGAAAAGGTGTCCTACTATCTTTCCAACTGCATTTACATACTATTGTGCACCTCCCAAGTTTTTCATGTGTTTCTATATGTGATTGTTTCAAAAGGTCCTAACCATTTTGCAGGCCAGTTTATGCATCACAACGGAGCTAGCTTACATTTATGAATTGGTTAGTTGATCTAACATCCATGGCAATTCACTGGAATAAAGTCCTTCTTATCATACTATGCTGTTCTAATGGACAATGAGAACAAAGTTATTGCTTTTCCAAAGATACCTGTTTCACGTGTTCCATCCTTTTCTTTTGGTGAAAAAGTAAATACTGTAAAGTGACAATTATTTTCTGACATGACGCTTACACATGTACTTCTACATAGTGGCATATGCAAGCAATCATTTTGTTATGGCTCATCACGAGACTAAAACAGATTTCAAACTTCAAGTGTACAAGAGGTTTTTACATGGGAAGCATAAGAAGATAACTTAGTGATTTTCTAAGTATTTCTACTTTCTAGTAATTTTATTGTTGTAAGGAAGATATCTTATATAGTAAGTGTGTATGAATTGCCAAGTGTCCTAGGTTAGTTTTATGTATTAAATAATTTAGTGTATCACACTTATGTTGTATGCTATTCTAAGGGAGGAAGTTGCCTTAAGGAGGCAGTTATTCTGTAATTCCTATGCCTTGCAAGATTGTTAATAGAAGATATATGGAAAGTTTAATAAGTTTTTTAAATACTCTAACCTAAAGAGATTGTAGGCTTTTTAAATGACCCTAGCAAGTAGACATCATAGGTAGAAAAGGAAGAAGAAACCAGAAGCAATCTTGTTTATTTTGGTCTTAACAGACCTATAACTAGATCCTGGGCTTTGGAACTATTGTTTCTGCTTTATTTTATTTAAAAAATTTTGAATATAAAAATTTAGGCTATATATACTGAATGGAAGAGTTTATCCAATAATTCGTGATCTGAGTTTGGATGAGGTCTTGGGAATGGCTAATATGACTTGAGAAAAATTGTTTCTTATCAGAAAGGCAAAACAAAGCTTGCAGTACGTTATAAAAAACCTCGGTGGCTACCTAAGAGCCATTCGCATTATGTGAGAAGATCTTGTTAACAATGTGATTGCATTTGGCTGTTTGAATCCCCATTATATATCTTTTATCTCCTCATTCTAATAGCTGTTTTCGTTTTTCTAAATCTCTTGCAATTCTTTTACCTTCTCCTTTGTGTCCTTGAAGTTTTGAAAGAATGGAAGCATCTGGTTTTCTCTTGTGATAACCTAGCCTATTCAGCTATTTGTTCTTCCTTGTATAAGTCATATTCTTAAGTTTGTCTTTTATTTTTCCAATTTTTCCTATGTATATTGTAGGTAATTGGTGTCATTGATGTGAATAGAAGTAAAGAGAAGGGTTACGGGACAATTGTGAAAGACGGATTCTGTGATGAGGTTAGACATTAGTGACAAGTTTTCTTTTGGTATGTTTCATCATTTCTTTCCCTTTTTAGTTCCATGGAAACCTAATGCTATGATTTAGTTCCACGGAAACTTACCATTGAATTTAGTACAGAGATGATGGGGTGTTTTTGCTTAAATCTTTAAGGCTTCGTAGCATTAGGTTTCTTGAATTTTTGCTGCTGTTAAAGCCTGAAATCTTTTTTTTTTTTTTTTTTTTGAGAAACTTAAAGCCCAAAATTTCAATTGTACATTGTCCTCAATTCCTGTTCATTGGCATATATAGTTGGATGAGCTGAGGCAAATATATGAGGAATTGCCAGATTTCCTGCAAGAGGTGCTTATTATGCAAATCTCTCATACATCAAACTTAAGCTACCTTTAGATCTCTTTTGATTGTAATAGTTCTTTGCAGGTTTCATCAGTGCAGGTAGCAGAATTTCCTCATTTCTTTAAATCAAAGCTTGATCCCTGTATCTTTTATATACATCAAATAGGTTAGTCTTCTGCCATATATATGGAAAATTTTATGGTAAATTACCAATTTAATCCCTGAACTAGAAGTTATATTGCGATTTAGTCCTAAAATTTTCTTGTCACAGTGTGGTCTCTAAATTTATAAATTTATTTTAAAATATAATTTTTCAATGAGGTTTCTTAGTATATTGTTCAACATGAGTGTTAACAGTTCCTGGTATTCATATCATATGAGAAATGGAAGAAAATGGTATAGCAAATACTGTTTTGCTCCTATAAGAAAAAAAAAAATTCTGTTTTGCTCATTTCAATATCTGATAACTTTTTCTATAGTGCCAATAGTGTAGGAAAAATAGAGATTGAGCACAATACTTGGAAAAGTTGGATATCTCGGATTTTAATAACTAAATTAATACCTTTATATTTGGATAATAATCATATAAATAGTCACCAAATAACTGAACTAACATAATTTATTTATAGGTATCATAATACAAACAAAATAAAATTTTTTAGCTCTATCTCGTAATTCTGTCAAATAAAAAGAGGATACTATAGATTAACTAAACAGGAAATAATAAACTCATATTACTGATAAGTCCACAATATAATTATATAAGTATCTCTTACTACTGAAATATGTAAATTTTAGGATTTTCTCGTTCTGCATCATTATACTCCACTCAGTGAAACCTCAATATCAAGCTTTAAAATGTTCAAGTAGAAAGAATATTAAATTTAAAATTTATTTTCCTGACAATTAAAGCCTGCAAAACTGGCAATTGTCATGAGAAAATAAGAATACTTTCAATATTAAGGATTCCAAAAAGCAGTGAACCTATTAGAAATGATATGATCTATAAGAATACGAATCACCAAGTTTCCTTTATTACTCGTAGGAGCCAAAGAAATTTTTAGGACAGTATCTTGAGGTGGGGTTTCTTTCTTCCATTTAATAGGAATGTAATAAGCTTCAACCTTAACAACATTAATGTTTATAACTAAATCGAGAGGTTTGTCACTAGGTGACTTCTTTCAAAAGAAAAAATATCACTAGGGTTGACTCAATTTGTTAAGTAGAAGTCAGAATGTCTTTCCCAATTTTTTGAATACTTCTTCCCTTGAGTTGTTATCATTAATTGGATGGTCAATGATGATGTCCTCGATTACCTCATTTATCCTCATGAGTTAGATCATCAATAGTAGCGACATCATCTTACTTCTAGAAAGAGATAGGTTGTGGCAGATGGTGGTCACTGCATCAGTGTAATCCTGCATGGGAATACTTAAAGATTTTATTGTGTGGATAAGAGATATTTTAAGTTTTCTGGGGGTACATGTTTCAAGAACTCTCTTTACTAACATATGAGCAATTGGCAAAATCTTTTTGCTACTCTCTGAACACTATGTAGGAGTGGAGAGGACAAATCTATTGAGATGTTTTCACTTCGTTGTAAAAGAATGTTCATAGTGCTTTCATGTATCAGAAAACGTTCTTCCCTTCAGGTCCAAAGGCTTTAGAAAGTGCTTGATTATTTCTATATTTAATTTTTATAATCTACTGAGATGTTATCACTTTCTTGTAAAAGAATGCTCATAATGCTTTCATGTATGAGAAAACATTCTTCCATTGAGGTCAAAAGGCTTTAGAAAGTGCTTAAACATTTCTATATTTAATTCTTTATAATCAAGATTCAGTATCACCAGATGTACTTTAATTTTTGCAACCATTGCATAAGTTAAAATCTCTCCAACATGTGATTTCCTTGTTCTGCCACTTAATATTTTAAATATAGAAACAATTAGCTCAAATTCTTTTTCCATCTGTGGATCATCATAAAGAACATTAGGTGCAGCTATTCTAGTTAGCTTATATATAAAATAAGCAACTTAAAATTTTCACGTTGGTATTTGGGTACTTGAGAAGTTGATTACTGACTAAGGCTCTAATAATGGACAAAGTGCATCTTCAAATGACTTAGATAGATCTTGCTATAATTTTAAGGGACAATACTTGGTTTAAAGATAAAGAAGTTTACCAGTTGAATGAGGAGCGATTAGTAGGAATATAACTAATGTCCATAAGCCATTGTTCAAGCCCTTTGATGCATGACGTCATAACGCTACTAGCACTGTGTTCATTCTCTTCCACCAATCTAATCAGAAGGCTTAACATATATTTTAAATCAAATAGCTTTGAATAAACATTAGCTCACTTGCCCAATTTTTCAGTCTTCCAAAAAACTGAGTATAGAACACGAACTCGACCAAATTAATCTCAAAAAATGGAAAAACACACCCAAAAAATCTTACAAACCTGGCTGACAACATTGAGAATTGACCTGAAGTTGCCTTACACATGAAAAGTCAAACCAGATAAAGTCAAACCGCTCTAAAACAGTCAACGTAGGCTTCAAAATTCTGAAACCAACGTATATTGGTCAGCGGGTGAGAGTCACACCTGCTTCCTGTGGTCCTTTATCATCAGTCTGGCTAGGAAGTCATCTAGAGGCCCTGGTTTCAGATCTGGTGTCCGTTATTTGTTGGTGTTACCTTAACTGATGGATCTCTGCAAGGAAGCAGCAAGAGCAACTTCAAGCAGCATGTGCAGCAGGTCCTAGTGAAGTTAAGGGCTGAGACCTGATGGGTAGGCTGGTTTGTGTCTTCTGCTATTAATGGTTGGGGTGGCAACTAGCGAATGTGTGGCTGGCATTCTTTGTTTTGACTCTTGAACATTTGTGTACTGTTGCATGATGAATTAAAATTACTGTTTTGCCTTAGTGCTGCTTTAGTGTTCGTGATGCTACTGTATTGGTGGTAGTCGTGAATGTTTGAACAAAAATTATGGTAGCTTGATAGCAATAGATGTAAGCAAAGAGAGATTGAGTATAATCTTCAAAAAAATATGTTAAGAACCAAGATTAGAGATTTTTAATCTTAATAATTAAATCAGTGACTCAATATTTGTATAACAATCACACGAATAGTCTATCAAATAATTAAAATAGAGTAGCCTATTTACAGGTCAAAAAACACAATCTAACTGGAAATTTTTAAATCTATCTAAAATTCTACTAAATAGGAAAATAAACTAATTAATTGAGTAACCTATTATAAAGAATAACTAAATAGCATCCTAACTAAAGAGAACATAATAAACTCATATTACTAATTAGTTTATAGATACTAATTTCTAAACAAGCTTAATATCTTAATAATATATCAAAATAACAATAATATAAGTATCTCTTAGCATTGAAATACGTTGCTATAGGATCATCTTGTTTTTCATCAATAAGCTCCACAAGATCCAAGATCATCAAATCATTTTGCCTACCTTTTCATTTGTAGGGTACTTGATGTGTATATTTGAAGAAAACCTTGATGAAACCACAATAGAGAAACTCCAAGACTTTGAATTTGCAGTAGGTATCTTTTTACAATATAATCAAAATAGATACATGATGTAGTTAAGGTACACTTTATACCTACTTGAGAAAACTGTTCTGAATTGTAGTTCTCTGATGTGGATGGAGAGACAAAACGATTTTTTTATCGTACGCCAAAGACAAGAGAATTGGATAACGTTCTTGGAGATATTTATCATAAAATTCTGGGTAAGCTTTACAAGATAGTTTCATGTTTCTTCGACTGTGAGACTTAGAATGCAAGCATGTCAGTTGAGTTTAAGCGTAATACTTTTAATACAATGCCATCTGTGTAGTCATTTAAAATTGCTTTATATCCTTGTGTTCATTGTTAAAGATATGGAAAGGGCAATTGCTAGGGACTTGGTATCCCATGTACTTTTATTCTCAGAGCATTTGCTCAAGGCTGTAAAATTTACTGCTGAACTTGACTGGTAACGATCTCTCTACATCTCACAGTACTCCTTATTAAGTCTCTATCTCATTGTCCAAAGTTAATTACAAATGATGATGTTTTTATGTTGATTTAGCCTTTTATCACTTGCACTGGTTGCTCATCAGAACAAATATGTGAGGCCTATCTTAACCATGGAAGCACTGCTTGATATACAAAGTGGAAGGTCATAACTGATTGCTTTACCTGCATTATCCATTTTGATTGGCCCTTTTGGGGTAAAGATCATATCATTTACAAACAAAAGGATTAACAAGCTGTTGATGCAACTTTTCCAGACATGTTTTGCAGGAAATGGCCGTAGACACATTTATTCCCAATGATACAAAATTTTTTGATGAAGGTAAATGGAATCATCAATTAAGTCATGAAATTGCAGTGTATAAAGGTCTGGAATTAACTGATAGAAAGACCTATTTAATTTGGGCATACTGATGGTCTTCAGGGTTGTCATATTTCAGGTAGGATTAGTATCATTACAGGTCCAAACTATTCAGGGAAAAGTATTTACATAAAGCAGGTAGTTTCACTCTTCTAGGATTGCGCTCTCTTTCTCTCTCTCTCTCTCTCTTGCTCTCCCCTCCTTGCAATCTTTGTACGTATTTTTCTGAGTCTTCCAGGTCTGTTAAATTGTTTCTTATGTTAAATCTTTCAAAGCATCCCTGGTTAAGCATGTATCAAATTGTTTTGATCATTTTTCTATTATAGAAAGAACAAAGGGGGTAAAATTTGTTTTAGTGCCTGCATTGACATTTTATCTTCAGTTCAATATGTGTAACTTATCCAATTTTAAGTAATATGGCATAAGAATTGGCCATTTATTCTCCTTCCTTTTACTTTAGAACTTGAGTGTAGATTGATTGATGCTTAAAGGATTAGCCTCCATTTTCAGGTGGCTTTAATTGTCTTCCTTTCGCACATTGGAAGTTTTGTACCTGCAGATTCTGCAACAGTTGGATTGACTGACAGGTATCATTCATCATGCTCGTGAAATATTTTAGAACTATATATTTCTATCTGGATGACAGGTATGCAGTTCTTTTTGCAGGATATTCTGCGCAGTAGGAAGCAAGTCTATGACTGCAGAGCAATCGACATTTATGATAGATCTACATCAAGTGGATGATGCTAAGTATATCAAAACAAGTCTG